TCATGATGCCATGCATGCATCACATGCGCTCATGATGCCATGCATGCATCACATGCACTCTTCCTGCTGGGGTTGCACAGCTTGAAACGCCTCAACACAAATTGCTCGTAGTTTTTCCCCCTCCTTCCTCAATCCCACCCACGCAACAATCAGATCTGCGACCACCCGTTTCTCGTTTTTAAGCCGCTCCGATACCATGGACGACGAGGATCTCAGCAAGCTGGGACGAAGGTTCCTGGCAGCTTCCTCACAGGGAGCAGCAGCAGGTGCCGCTGGTGCTGATGCTGGCAGCAACACTGCTGCCGATGCTTCTGCGGCTGCAGGAGCATGGGGAGAATCAGGCAGTGATCCTAATGGGTGGGACGAAACCCACAAGGGCCCATCGCGGGAGTATGTGCAGTCAGTAATAGAAGGCCTCAAGAGGAGGAGGGAGGGGTTATCACAGGGAGGGGACGAGTGTCCGGTGTGTTTGGAGGCAGCAGAGGATGCGGTGTTCATGCCCTGTGCGCACATTGCATGCCGGGAGTGCCTGCTCACCGCCTGGAGGCCTTCGGGCACTGGCGGCCCGTGTCCTGTGTGCCGGTACGTGTGATTCTTTCAGTCGACTTAGACATCAGTGAGGGATGCGGTGCGGTGTTCATGCCCTGTGCGCACATAGCATGCCGGGAATGTCTCCTCACCGCCTGGAGACCTTCAAGCACTGGCGGCCCTTGCCCTGTGTGCCGGTACGTGTGCCTGTGGCTTTTTTTGATTGATTATTATCTAACGCATTATCTAGTGAACTGATCTCGACTTGGGTAGCTGCATGATAACCTTTTGAAGACACAGTTCATAGTGCTACATCCCATCCCATCTCACTTATTCCCCAGCTTTCTTTCCGAAACACAATACCTCCTGTGCTGCCCGCCTCTACATCTTTTTTTTTAGTCGACCATAGATTATCCCCCCCTGTGTTGCCGATACACGCGTCTTGGGTCGAATTAATAACCAATTTCCCCTGCGATGCGCCAACATGCTTCCCTCCTACCAACCCTCCCAATCCAGTCGGCCAATCCTGCGCTCCCAGCTCATCACAGTGCCACGTGCCAGCCGCTTCTCATTGGACGTGGAGGCCAGCTGGCAGGACTCGGTGAAGGTCCGCCAGCTGCTACAGTGCCTGGGGGAGATCCGGGCGGCATCGGCTCGGCAGGGAGCGAGTGGGGGAGTAGGAGGGGAGAAGAGCGTGATTTTCAGCCAGTGGACGGCGTTTCTTGACCTTTTGGAGATTGCATTCAAAAGGTGTGTAGAAAGGTCCATCGTTTGAGGTGCCTCAAAGAGGAGTCGTTTTCCCTGGGCACCTCAAATGTTTCTTGGCTTGTTGGCTATTACTTTCAGAAGCTAGGAGTGAAAGGGCAACTGGGAGGGACTTGCTTCTAGGGCCCTGAGAGTGAGGACACGAAGGCGAGTTCCGAAACCACTGGTGTAAATGGTTGTTCCTGATTCGCTTTCTCCTCGTTCCTCTCTCCCCCCCCATCCATTTGTCAATGCAGGGCCAAGGTGCTGTATGTGCGGTTGGACGGCAGCATGTCACAGCAGCAGCGCGAGCGGTCGATAAATGCGTTGAAGGATAATCCCGAGGTGGAGGTGCTGCTGGTGTCGCTCAAAGCGGGCGGCGTGGGGCTCAACCTCACGGCTGCCTCGCATGCGTTCGTCATGGTACGTGTTACGGGCTATCAGTGAGTTGAAGGAGATCCCAAGGTGGAGGTGCTGCTGGTGTTACTCAAGGTGGGCGGCGTGGGGCTCAAATTCACCGCAGCCTCGCACGCCTGTGTCATGGTACATTCCAAAGTTCCCAAACATGCGTCCTCATGGTATACCTTGTTCATGGTACATCTATAACTGAAGAACATGCGCTCCTGAAGAACACCTCTCACCCGTCTGTTCTTTGCTCCACCCTACGCAACCCCTCAGGACTCCTGGTGGAACCCGTCAGTGGAGGAGCAGGCAGTGATGCGAGTGCACCGCATAGGGCAGACTCGTCCCGTTACAGTAACGCGCTTCATAGTGCGCGACTCAGTAGAGGAGCGCATGCAGAAGGTGCAGCTGCGCAAGGATCAGATGGTGCAGGGAGCGCTTATGGATGATGGTGCACGCAGCGCAAGGATCAACGAGCTCAAAATGCTATTCAGATAAGCTTGACTTTAGCAAGGCAGATGCCAATTTCAAAAACTACGATGGCGTGCGCAGCGCAAGGATTTGCGAGCTGAGAATTCTCTTCAGATTGGCTAGATGTTTACCAGGGTAGAGGTCATATGTAATGTATGGTACGGCTAATGTAAAGTAAAATGAAGATTAGTCACTGCTGGGTAATTGTGGGAGTAGGGAGGGAGTGAGTGACCTTGGTTTGATTTGATTCCCCAATCATCATGATTGCTGCCGCCAGCTGTGGGTGGGACTGAGAGTTGAGTTTATTCAGCTTTGAACTGCAGCCATGCAAGCAATGTACCGGTTATGAATGAGCAGCCTGAACATGAGCATGATGAATGTACATTATTGATGGCATGTTTCGCTAGTGTCACATTTCCATGTTATCATCATCTACGTCTTCCAGCTGGAAGCACGTGCCTGCAGCACCTGTTCCCTGTGATGACTGGTCATGTTGCGACGGTGGTAACCCGTTTCGCGGGTTTCGCAATTGGCTGAAGCTGGAAAACGACGAGCATGATTCACCTTCTCCGGTGCCCCCCCACCCCTGCGCTGCTCCCCACATTCGTGTTCCGCTCGTTTCCCCCGACGAAGATTCACAAGAGCCCGCTCCCCCACATTCCGCGCGCTGTTGCGGATGAGAGGCCATGCCCCCCGTAGCGCACGCTGACGCGCATCCAGCTGCTGCGGATGGGCCCGCGGTTGTCGTATATGACCGTTGCGATTGCGACCCTTGCCATCCGTTCGAGCCGCTCGCGCCACTGCTACAGCCGCTGCCGTTCCAACTTGCGCACATGCTCTCGGGCGCGTTTCTCGCCGCATTGTCCGACGCGTCTAACGCCGGATGATGCGGCGGCGCCGACGCGATCTGCATGTTCCAGGCGCCCCACCGGATGTGCGGCACGCGCAGCCACGGGCTCGACCAGGACAAACGCGGGACGGTCACGGTCAACGACCACACCGTGTGCGCCGCCGTCGCGCGCTCCGGACTCGCGTCAAACGGTAACTTCAACCGGCACCCGAACTTCCACGGGTTAGATATCGACGAATGAATGCTGCTGCTGCTGCTGCAGCTGTTGCAGAAAGAACTCGTGCCTGGCGGTGCTGGCAGCAGCCAGCGCTCGCAATGACGCGAGCAAAAAATGGTCAATAGAGCACCATCACGGCACAAATCAGGATAGCCGTCCACGTCAGCGGAAGAGATTCCCCTCATTCCGCAAGCTCCCCCTCCGCTGCTCCGACCCGCAAGCCGATCAGAACCGGCTCCCTGATTTACGCAACCGTTTGAGCAAGGCGAACCCGACCGTCCAGGTTCACTGGACTCGACGCGTTCGACGACCACCTCCACCTCCTCCTGGCGCAACCCGTCCCTTTGGACTTCAAACGAGTACGTTTCGCCTGTCTCCGATATAAGCCATGTGGGCTTCCGGATGTCACCCTGGTACTCCTTTATAATCTCGAACTCGATAGTGGTGAAAGAGGGAGCGAACTCGCTGCTGTGCCGAAATGGCTTTCCTCGACACGAGTTTGTGTCGTACGGCTGCGGTGCTGTAGGTCTGAAGATTCCTCGTGACCTACGGGACGCCATACCAGATGCGTTCCGCCTAAGGCGGTTGAACGACCAAAAAAGCCTCCTATTTTGCCTCGAAAGGCGTGATGATAATATAATTGACAGGAGGTGCTAATGCGAGGTCAACATAGGTGACGCGGCCTGTAGTCCTCAGCTAGAGAGCGTCTGCTGCAGAGAGGTAGCGGAGGGGACGGCCAAGTCATCTCTAGAGCATTCAGGCAATATTTTTATTGCAAGGTAAGTCCAAGTTGACCAAATAGGTAATAGACGATAACGAAGGATGCTTTCTCCCAGGTGAAGGTGAAAGAATTAGGTGAAGGTGAGGGTGAGAAGAGCATAGCACAGCAAAGGTGAGTGATGGGTGATCAGGGAGGGAGGGGATTCATGACGACTTCTGTTGGGGGAAGAGTCTCTAGAGTTGTTCGTTCAGCTGCTGTTCCCAGCTTCCACCTCAGCTTCTCCACAGGGGCTTCGAGTCCCTTCGAAGTAAATCCATTGGTTGCGAAACGGCGATATTTCTGCGATTCTCGTGCGTGCTGGAACTTGGTTGCGGGAATTCGGCAAATGCCCACTTTCGTCAGGCATGGTCTAGGCAAGTTGGTTGGTGGTGATCAACAGCACTCTTCGTGACTCGTGTCGCACATCGCATCCCCGTCAAAACTCGACAAAATCGACTCGACCCTCTGGAGTGCTATTGGAGGGGGTCCGTTCGTACCGGCGAAGTTCGTGAGTTTCCAGCCACTCAAATGAGCTTCTAGCAGCTTCCACTATCCATTGAGATTGACGCACACAGCAACACCACACCACCGTATCATACTCGCCACAAGCTCATCTCATACTTCGCTAAAAATATATATAAATAATTGGATCAGGTTCAGTCAAAGGCATCACACCCTTCACTCCACATTCAGAAACGTTATCCTAAATTGTTCCAACAAAGGAATGTGACATACGAGTTCTGTCCCAATGACACGTCATGGACCGTGACGTGGCAGCCCACCCATCCCGGGCATCCCCCCCTCCACCTTTCTCCCCCAACCTTACCCCTTCGTTTCCAAACCTTTCATCATCCCTCACCACCGATTCGCCGCCAAGATCTCTTAGCCTCCTCCTCTACCAGCCCTCACAATCACAACCCACAGCACGCCCGACACCCTTCCCCCTCCCTCTTCTCCAGCCTCACCTTTTCCCTGCGCGGTCCTCACGCACCCTGACTTGTCGAATTAGGGTTTTCGCATTGCCGGACATGGCGCTCGCCTGTCCTTCCTCCGTGTCCTTCAAGTCCTTCCAAGGGCTCAAGGCCAGCCCGGCTGTCTCTTCTCAAGCGCGCATTAGTCGCTCCAATGTAGCTTTCCCAAATGTCGCGTCCAAGAGGCTGGTCGCCGTCGCGGCCGTCGCAGAGGCACCAGCAGCTGCCGGCCCGGCAGTTCTGCCCGTCCTGACAATGGACGGCGCGAACTCCGGCAAGACGGCGGAGCTGAACCTGCGGACGGCGCGGCCGGAGACGGCAAAGGCTGTTGTCCACCGTGCCGTGGTCACCTACATGCAGAACAAGCGCGCGGGTACCGCGAGCACGAAGACCCGCGCGGAGGTGCGGGGAGGTGGGCGGAAGCCGATGAAGCAGAAGGGAACCGGCAGCGCGCGCCGGGGATCGCAGCGGACGCCGCTGCGTCCCGGTGGTGGTGTGGTGTTCGGGCCTAAACCCAAGGACTGGACGATCAAGATCAACAAGAAGGAGAAGCTGCTTGCCGTGGGGACCGCTCTGCAGAACGCGGCGACCGCGAATGACGGCGCGAGCTTCATTGTGATCGAGGACGTACACGACAAGGTCGCGGCTCCTAAGACTAAGGACTTCGTCGCGGCGCTTGCGCGGTGGGGCGTGGATTACAAGAAGGATCACGCGCTGCTGCTCACCGGCGAAGCTTCAGAGAACCTGCTGCTGTCGACGCGGAACATCGAGAACCTGAAGGTGGTGACGCCGAACGCGCTGAACATCTACGACGTGCTGCGCGCCGATAAGCTGCTGGTGACGGAGTCTGGGCTTGAGTACCTTAACCAACGGTTCGGCGATGACGTGCTGTTCCTAGACGGGGAGGAGGACGACGAGGAGGGAGAGGAGGAGGCGTCAGATGCTTGAATGCGTGCAGGTGCTGCAGGGATGGATGAAGAGATTGGTGATAGCAGGGCTAGCAGGGTCGATATGGCTGGAAAGTGAAGCAGAACTGTTCACTGGCCATGGGTTGTGTTTATCTAGCCTACGGTAAGCTGCTGCTGCTGCTGCTGCTGCTGCTGTTGCCACATTCTACGTTTTCCTGAGGCATTTCCGCCTGTGTCCTTTGCTTAGTTTCATGTGTACCAGCGATATTACAGTAACATACTGAAAAGAGAATAAAGAACCAATGTTATGCCTACGCGCGTCTCTTTGAGTGTCTGCATTCTGAGCTCGTACAAACCTGCCACATTCTTTACCACCCCCTTCCCTCCCCTCCTCATTCCCCCTTCTCCCACGCCGGCCTTCCCTTACCCTTTCTCCTCTCTCACTCTTTGGTAGTCACATCCCCTCTCCTCCCTCTCGCTCCACATGTTCGCCCACACACTGTTGCCACTCTCCCGTCCTCCCCCTCTCACCTTCATTTTCTCGCCTTCGTTTCCTGCCTACCGCTCTCCCCTTCTTTGTTTAGGTGTACGTTTTCTTCCCTTTCCTCTTCATCCTCTCTCAAACTTCCATATCCTCAACTCCCCATTACTTCCTCCCCTCTCCCCTTCCACCGTCTTGCCTACGCCATTTTCTCTCCTGCCGAACTTTCCCCTTCTCCTGCCTCCCTTTCCCCTTCTCCTGCCTCCCCTGCAATTCCCCGTCTTTGTGCCTTCTGGCAAGCGTCACCCTCGCTCCCTTCTTGCCCATACATTCCCCCGTTCATCTAGAATACTGGTAACCCCCTCCATGACAGTACTGGCAATCATATGCGGTACCCGTAAGTCGTCCGTGCCATGCCTTGGCATGGCACCCACGTTGGCAGACGCATTTTATGAGTGCCTCACTAGTGGGACTGAGATTCACGTTCACAAATTTCACCCCGTCTCATTGATTCAGAGTCTGGTCTGGATTTACGGTACTAAACAAAATACACAACCTTAAATGCCATCCTGTTGATAACCGTGAGTGAGTGAGCCAATGGGAGTTGACGGGAGCAAAGCGCATGTGTGGCGTTGAGATACTTGGTGACTTCATCATACAGTCATCCTCCTGCCTGCCATGCTTGGAGTTCCTTACAATGATAATGCGGAACTTCTGTGCTTATGTTATCAGAACCATAGTAGTTGAACAGTCTAAAACAATTGGTACGGTAAATAGGTACCAATACTGTATGTCTCAACTCATGAAAATGCCATGGCCAAGTGCAACACACTTTCACCATTTAAAAAAATCAACAGGCACACATGCAGGGTACCACATCTCTAGACCGTCCAACCAAGGCGGCACGGCCCTACAGGTGACTAAACTGACATGTTCAAACAAGACATGTCCGACTAGACTGGGCTGGGAGCAACGTGAAGGAGTTACGGTAATCGGAGGAGAGCATGCCGAGGTATTGCCTTTGAGGCGCCTCCAAAATAGCAGCGTGAAGGGCTTAATCGGAGGAGAGGACGTTGAGGTATTGCTCCCACTCGTCAGTCTCAAGCTGCCCTGCCTTCTCCAGCACCATACCTTCTAGGTCCTTCTGGTACGCCACCATGCTGTGGGCACGGAGTAGGGAGGAGTGGAGGGGAGTGGAGGGGTGTGGTGAGGAGTGAAAAGCAGTGGAAGGGAAGTAGGAATTAGGGAAACGCAGACACAGACCAAACACGTGCAGGAATGAAAGGGCAGGGTGGGAGGCTTCCAGCGTGTAAAATTCGGGATTGGAATGCTGATGCCTGGGGGAGCTCGTACCGGTCCAGGAGGGCAGGGTCGGACGCCCCCAGCATGCGCACGGCCAGCAGAGCAGCGTTGACTGCGTTGTTGATTGCCACTGTGGCCACTGGAATGCCACGTGGCATCTGGTGATTAGACAGGAGAGATGACAAAAGAAGGGGGAGAGCGGAGCGTTAGGGGATGGTGGGTAAAGCAGACAACAGAGGGACATTCATAGGTTGGTTGACAGGACAGAAGGAGTTGAACCAAAACAAGGAGATTTGTAAAAGCACTTCCAGGACTGACCTGCACGATGGAGAGGAGTGAGTCCATGCCACCCAGAGCCGAGCCCTTCACTGGCACGCCTATCACCGGGAGAGGTGACATTGATGCTAACATGCCTGGTGGTTCGTGGAGGGAGGGAACAGGGAGGAGGGGAATGGGCACACAGAAGCGGGAGGGGGAAGGGGGGGAAGGGGTTGTACTTGGAGTTGGTTTTTGAGGCATTTCGAGAGTGGCTGGATGGGTTGGTTGATGTTGGGGGAGAATTTACAGGTCTTGTTCAGTTGCTGGCGGTTGAGCTGGGGCTGAACAGTTCATTTTCAGTGCCAAGAACGTATGAGGTGGCGTGTTGGAGCAGCGTACACAAGGAAGAAATGACAACGCAAGGAAGAGGAGAGAGAAGAGTGGTAAGAGGAAGGTGCGTCAAGGAGGAGGACGAGGGGCGGAAAAGAGGTGAACAGAGATTTGAGGCGCCTCAAAAGTCGTCTCTATACCCACAATTTTCATATTGCAAGAGGGAGGTGAGAGAAGGGTGGCAAGTGAAAGGTGCGTCGCGGAGGAGGACGAGATGGGTGAAGAGGTGTACATGGCAAGTTGCCACTTCTCTGTTGTTTTCACCTGGCAGGTGGGCGGCACCGCCGGCGCCAGCAATGATGACTCGGATGCCCCGTGTGTGTGCTGACTGCGCGAATGAGAACATGCGGTCCGGCGTGCGATGGGCCGACACTATGGTCAGCTGGTAGACGGGGGGAGGGAGCGGAAGCGGAAACGGGGAAGGGGATGAGTGGGAAGGAAGAGAGGGCAAGAGCAGGGAAGCGAGAACATGCGGTCCGGCGTGCGATGGGCCGACACTATGGTCAGCTGGTAGACGGGGGGAGGGAGCGGAAGCGGAAACGGGGAAGGGGATGAGTGGGAAGGAAGAGAGGGCAAGAGCAGGGAAGCGAGAACATGCGGTCCGGCGTGCGATGGGCCGACACTATGGTCAGCTGGTAGACGGGGGGAGGGAGCGGAAGCGGAAACGGGGAAGGGGATGAGTGGGAAGGAAGAGAGGGCAAGAGCAGGGAAGCGAGAACATGCGGTCCGGCGTGCGATGGGCCGACACTATGGTCAGCTGGTAGACGGGGGGAGGGAGCGGAAGCGGAAACGGGGAAGGGGATGAGTGGGAAGGAAGAGAGGGCAAGAGCAGGGAAGCGAGAACATGCGGTCCGGCGTGCGATGGGCCGACACTATGGTCAGCTGGTAGACGGGGGGAGGGAGCGGAAGCGGAAACGGGGAAGGGGATGAGTGGGAAGGAAGAGAGGGCAAGAGCAGGGAAGCGAGAACATGCGGTCCGGCGTGCGATGGGCCGACACTATGGTCAGCTGGTAGACGGGGGGAGGGAGCGGAAGCGGAAACGGGGAAGGGGATGAGTGGGAAGGAAGAGAGGGCAAGAGCAGGGAAGCGAGAACATGCGGTCCGGCGTGCGATGGGCCGACACTATGGTCAGCTGGTAGACGGGGGGAGGGAGCGGAAGCGGAAACGGGGAAGGGGATGAGTGGGAAGGAAGAGAGGGCAAGAGCAGGGAAGCGAGAACATGCGGTCCGGCGTGCGATGGGCCGACACTATGGTCAGCTGGTAGACGGGGGGAGGGAGCGGAAGCGGAAACGGGGAAGGGGATGAGTGGGAAGGAAGAGAGGGCAAGAGCAGGGAAGCGAGAACATGCGGTCCGGCGTGCGATGGGCCGACACTATGGTCAGCTGGTAGACGGGGGGAGGGAGCGGAAGCGGAAACGGGGAAGGGGATGAGTGGGAAGGAAGAGAGGGCAAGAGCAGGGAAGCGAGAACATGCGGTCCGGCGTGCGATGGGCCGACACTATGGTCAGCTGGTAGACGGGGGGAGGGAGCGGAAGCGGAAACGGGGAAGGGGATGAGTGGGAAGGAAGAGAGGGCAAGAGCAGGGAAGCGAGAACATGCGGTCCGGCGTGCGATGGGCCGACACTATGGTCAGCTGGTAGACGGGGGGAGGGAGCGGAAGCGGAAACGGGGAAGGGGATGAGTGGGAAGGAAGAGAGGGCAAGAGCAGGGAAGCGAGAACATGCGGTCCGGCGTGCGATGGGCCGACACTATGGTCAGCTGGTAGACGGGGGGAGGGAGCGGAAGCGGAAACGGGGAAGGGGATGAGTGGGAAGGAAGAGAGGGCAAGAGCAGGGAAGCGAGAACATGCGGTCCGGCGTGCGATGGGCCGACACTATGGTCAGCTGGTAGACGGGGGGAGGGAGCGGAAGCGGAAACGGGGAAGGGGATGAGTGGGAAGGAAGAGAGGGCAAGAGCAGGGAAGCGAGAACATGCGGTCCGGCGTGCGATGGGCCGACACTATGGTCAGCTGGTAGACGGGGGGAGGGAGCGGAAGCGGAAACGGGGAAGGGGATGAGTGGGAAGGAAGAGAGGGCAAGAGCAGGGAAGCGAGAACATGCGGTCCGGCGTGCGATGGGCCGACACTATGGTCAGCTGGTAGACGGGGGGAGGGAGCGGAAGCGGAAACGGGGAAGGGGATGAGTGGGAAGGAAGAGAGGGCAAGAGCAGGGAAGCGAGAACATGCGGTCCGGCGTGCGATGGGCCGACACTATGGTCAGCTGGTAGACGGGGGGAGGGAGCGGAAGCGGAAACGGGGAAGGGGATGAGTGGGAAGGAAGAGAGGGCAAGAGCAGGGAAGCGAGAACATGCGGTCCGGCGTGCGATGGGCCGACACTATGGTCAGCTGGTAGACGGGGGGGAGGAGCGGAAGCGGAAACGGGGAAGGGGATGAGTGGGAAGGAAGAGAGGGCAAGAGCAGGGAAGCGAGAACATGCGGTCCGGCGTGCGATGGGCCGACACTATGGTCAGCTGGTAGACGGGGGGAGGGAGCGGAAGCGGAAACGGGGAAGGGGATGAGTGGGAAAGAAGAGAGGGCAAGAGCAGGGAAGCGAGAACATGCGGTCCGGCGTGCGATGGGCCGACACTATGGTCAGCTGGTAGACGGGGGGAGGGAGCGGAAGCGGAAACGGGGAAGGGGATGAGTGGGAAGGAAGAGAGGGCAAGAGCAGGGAAGCGAGAACATGCGGTCCGGCGTGCGATGGGCCGACACTATGGTCAGCTGGTAGACGGGGGGAGGGAGCGGAAGCGGAAACGGGGAAGGGGATGAGTGGGAAGGAAGAGAGGGCAAGAGCAGGGAAGCGAGAACATGCGGTCCGGCGTGCGATGGGCCGACACTATGGTCAGCTGGTAGACGGGGGGAGGGAGCGGAAGCGGAAACGGGGAAGGGGATGAGTGGGAAGGAAGAGAGGGCAAGAGCAGGGAAGCGAGAACATGCGGTCCGGCGTGCGATGGGCCGACACTATGGTCAGCTGGTAGACGGGGGGAGGGAGCGGAAGCGGAAACGGGGAAGGGGATGAGTGGGAAGGAAGAGAGGGCAAGAGCAGGGAAGCGAGAACATGCGGTCCGGCGTGCGATGGGCCGACACTATGGTCAGCTGGTAGACGGGGGGAGGGAGCGGAAGCGGAAACGGGGAAGGGGATGAGTGGGAAGGAAGAGAGGGCAAGAGCAGGGAAGCGAGAACATGCGGTCCGGCGTGCGATGGGCCGACACTATGGTCAGCTGGTAGACGGGGGGAGGGAGCGGAAGCGGAAACGGGGAAGGGGATGAGTGGGAAGGAAGAGAGGGCAAGAGCAGGGAAGCGAGAACATGCGGTCCGGCGTGCGATGGGCCGACACTATGGTCAGCTGGTAGACGGGGGG